AGTCTTATCTGTAATAAATTAGATAGTTGTAAATGTATATATACATTTGTAACCGTAATACCTTAGAGTACTAATAATAAACAGTTAAGGCAAGACTGCCGAATTATAAAAAAAAAAAAAAAAAAAAAAAAACATATTGAAAAATTATATACTAAGTTTATACAAAATTAAATCTTAGTATTATATATATTCTTCGGGGTCCTGTTACACCATATATAGGATATAGTGACTAACATCAGTGTGGTAACCAAACTTGAAAATCTTTATAAAACAGCTAGGTTTTAGTCTAATTAGATTATTAAATAGCTTAGTTTTGTATTAAGTTGTAAATATTTAATAAAATTTAGTACATGGTTATCAAAGAAAAAAAAAATTATAAAGTAGGTATGCCTAATTTGGTGCAGTTAATTTAGCCAATAGTAAGTCTTTATATATTTGATATTAAGATATACTGTTTTTTAACTCAATTTAATAGGTTTCATTCTAAAATATAATTATCTTAAAAAAAAATTTTTTTTTTAAGAAAAAAGAAAAATTTTATTCTAAAAAAGTATTTATACAAAAATCAGGATCATTAAGAGACTATTCTTAAATTGATGCACTATCGAAAATTAAGGTAGATTTAATTTTTTTTCTTTCTCAAAATGTTTTATACCTTTAGCACATCGCTTTTCTGCCATTAACCGTTCCTTTTCTTCTTTTTTTTTTTTGTACTTCTTGTTTTTGCACTTTCTCAGCTTCACACACAAGTCTTTTTTAAATCGCTGCCTCTTTCTTGCATTGTTTTTCATCAGCTACTTTTTTGGCTTTTTCTTCTGCTTCTCTTAACTCTTGCAAAGATTTTTCATTTATAAGTAGTTGAGAAAAGGGTATAGTTTTCCTTCTTTTTCTTTTTGGCAACAGAGAGCTAGATTCTTCTTCACTGGCCTTCGGATCTTTAACTGTTGGTGAATTATGATGCAAAGGATACTTAAGTATGAGCCACAAAGGTATTGTACCGAGATTTGTGAAGGTTTCAAGCTCTTCTTCCAAATTTTCAACTTTCTTATTTAATATTTCAATCTCTGATATTAATTCTTTTTTTGTAGAAGTTTTTTTTGTAAGATGTATTTGACTCGAGATCAATCTTGATAAAGATGGCGAAGAAAATAAAAACAACGAAGGAAATGAAAAAGAAGAAGCCGAAAAGAATGAAAAAGAAGCCGAAGAAGAGAATGAAGATAATAAGGATGAAGGTGGCAACTCAAGAGCTTGTGAAATATCAATTTGTTCTGTTGCCAATGAGGGCTCTAAATAGTCTGGACTAATAGCGTTGGGGTTGAATGGCCAAATTTTCATAGTTTTAAAAAAATTGCATATTGCAGTAGGCGTGTATATTGCAATATAAGATGATCCTATAATTCTAGCAAATATATGCTTTGTCACAATCTTGCCATTGTTATTAACTTGAAACTTATCACATTCTTTATTATAGGTTTTTTTTTAAGGTAGCAAATGGCAATTTTGCTGGTTATAAAATATGAATAGTGTGAGGAGGAAGCATATAAAGAAGAATGTTGTACTCATGACAAAAGTTGACGCTAGTGTAATTGACATGGCTCTTATAGCCATTTAAAATTAATAAAACAAGATGTGCAGGTAAAATAGAACTAACAAAATATTCAATGTATTTTTGAAATAGACTCTCTTGCATATATCCTATCTTGGTAAATCTCATAACAGAGCCAGCAGGAGTACTATTTAAAAGGCCTGGAATTGTCTATTTTTCTTTGAATATAAACAGTAATAGAATGTATATTCTAGCAGCTGAGATAGTTGGGTATAAGGAAATATGTTTATGAGAGTTGCTATATAAAACCCAATATCTAGTCACCAGGTCACTAGAGCTGCCTTAGTTGTATATTCTTTGGCTACTTCAGTAGTATGACTAGGAGAAGATCCTAGGATGAGATCTGGAAAAAGAAACAAGTATGAAACAAAATACAGAAACACCAACTTTAAAATACCAATATATAATAATGGAAGTAGTACAATATATACTCTGAAAAACTTAGTTGGAAGTTTTGACGCCTATAACCTGTGAGACCCACCAATTAGGGGAGTATTTGCTATTAAGTCCTGTATGCATATCATCAACACTATAGTAATAAAGAAGGTTGTGCTTGAGATACGAACTGGGTTATAGCAGCATTACAAATAATGGCTTGAGATACGAACTCAGTAATAGCAGACAACATGTACTACACCAATCTGGAAGTAACCGTGAGGTTATGCTTGCCTAGTGCTCCCTAGTGGGATCTGTAATAGATACCACACTGGAATTATATTGGAAGTGTAAGGTTGTTAGTATGAGAAATATGGAGAATATATCAAGTTAAAATAGGATATCTAGTCAGTAGTATATAAAATATAGGTAATATATGAGTGGGACATAATGGCTCTAGTAGGTATAGATCATAGATAATTAGTCTAAGCCACAGTTTTATTAATTATAGTATAATGTATATTATGTATATATATACTTAATAAAATAACATGAAGCAAGATTTCACTTTAAAAAAATAAAAAATAAAAAAATAAAATGTGATCCAGTGGTCCAAATAAAATGATTTTGGTACTATTGGATTTATCTCATAAAGACAAATTAAATAGTACTAAAATCATCTGGATTGGATTACTGAGTCATAATATATTCAAGTTTTTATAAAATTATATATATAAATATATGGATTTTTAAAAAATTTTTTATATAGTCTAGAGAGGGGAATCAAGAGCTACTATGTAGAGATACATAATATTATTTATAAATGCTCCCTTTATTATAATATCTTAGCATAGTACCTTAGTATAGTACTTTAGCATAGTATCTTGTTATAATATCTTACTATAGTACCTTACTATAGTACTTTACTATAGTACTCTACTATAGTATCTTATTATATAGTACCTTATTATAGTACTTTATTATAGTACCTTATTATAATCATAGTATCTTTATTATAGTATCTTAATATAGTACCTTATTATAGTACCTTATCATAGTACCTTGATATGTTTTTAAAATAACAATACCACATTTTTAGTATGTTAAAAAGCTATATAAACTCTGTCTTTTTTCTTAAAGCAGATTAGGTTTTTTTTATCTAAGCCTTTATTAAAAGTTCTCTTTTATCTTAAAGCTCTTTTTTTAGCTTAGATTTTTATCTTCAGGTCCTGTTCTTTATCTAATAAACTAATACTCACTTTTGACTATATACTCGCTACGTTGTGTATAACTTTTATTCCTTTACTCATTATGTTGTGAAGGCCCTTTTTAGTGTGTTTTTATTATTTTTTGTTTAGTTTCTATTCTTCACCTATTATGTTGTGAAAGTTTTCTTTATAGTATTTTTATTATAGTTTTTGGTTTGTTTTTATTCTTCACTCATTATATGGGGTGAGTCAATAGAAATCAAGCAAATTTTTTATAATAAAATTTTTTTATAACTTTAAACAAGAATAACTTAACAAAAACTTGACCAAATTTAATAAAAATTTTTTTAAATAATTTTTACAAACTTGTAGAATTAATTTAAAAAAATTTTTATTAAATTTGATCAAGGTTTTGTTAAGTTATTCTTGTTTAAAATTTTAAAAAAAACTTATTAAAAAAAATTTGCTTGGTTTCTATTGACTCAACCCCATATTATGAAGACTCTTTTTATTGTGTTTTTATTATATTTTTGGTTTAGTTTTAGTTTTGTTTTTATTCTTTATCTATTACATTGTAAAGACTTCTCTTATTATGTTTGTTTTATATTTTTGTTTAATTTTTGTTTTGTTTTTATCTTTCACTTATTATGTTGTAAAGGCTCTTTTTTATTGTGTTTTATTATATTTTGTTTTGTTTTTATCTTTCACTTACTATATTGTAAAGATTTTTTTTATAGTGTTTTTATTATATTTTTGTTTAATTTTTATTTTTCACCTATTACATTGTGAAGGCCCTTTTTATTGTGTTTAGTTATATTATTTTATCTAGTTTTATTATCTTTGAGTATTTTCTTTTAGATTTCTTGTGTTTTATTTTCAGTTTATTTTGTTTTCTTACATATTCCTTGCCCTTTGCATGTTAAGTCAAGTGATATAGTTAACTGATATAAATTATCTATATTACAATATATTAGAAAAGCTATAAACTCTAGTTTTTTTTCTTTCTTGAACTTTAGGATTTGTTTTTTGCAATCTTTAGTTATTAGGATTCTTTAGATATAAATATTTATAAATTGCCTTATATCTTAATATTGTACTATAGATAAATATATGAGGTGAGTTAATAAAAAAGAGACAAATTTTTTTTAAGTTAAAGTTTTTTTAATTTTAAACTTAAATATCTTGGTAATTATCTTATCAAATTTATAAAATTTTTTTATTTTTTATTTTATATAATTTTAAAATTAAAATAAAAAATTTTTAGCAAATTTGATTGAATAGTTGTTAAGATATTTTAATTTAAAAATTAAAAAAATTTCACTAAAAACAATTTGTTCCTTTTTTATTAATTGATGATTTTCCAGTTAACTGAAAAATAAACATAGTACAACATAACTCAGTTTACTATATAAATCTAATATAGGCCAAATATGAAATTGCTTCAAAATAAACTTTTTTTTTGTACTAAGTTAATTGATCTTGTTAATTAATTAAAAGTTGTAAAGCTTATCTTTGCAGTTTTAATAATAGTTAAAGTGTTAAAATTGGCCTGGTGAATGCCAAAATATCTAAAAAAACAATTTTTTTACTATGTAAACTTCTTTGTAAACTATACTATTGTTTGTAAAGAAGTTTACATAGTAAAAGAATATTTTTTAAAGATATTATAGCATCCACCAGGCCGATTTTGATGCTTTAACCACCATTAAAACTGCAAAGATAAGCTTTACAACTTTTAATTAATTGACAAGATTAATTAACTTAGTATAAAAAAAAAAAAGTTTACCTTGGAGCAATTTCATATTTGACTTATATTAGATTTATATAATAAACTAAATCATGTTATACTATGTTTATTCTTCATTTGACTAGAGAATTATCAATTAACTCTTCTTCATATCTAAAATAAATACATATCTTTGTTTTTTTAAATAAACTATACTAAATTGCTCTAGTGAAGTAATATTTTACTTCTACATTACTTTATATTTTACTTTGTTGTTTTAGAGATTTTTATTGCTGTGTGCAATATTGCAAGTACTATATTTCTAAGAAGGCTATAGTTCACTTGTAACAATATAAATAAAGGCAAGATCGTTTAAAAAAAAAAAAGATAACATCACTGCTAATAAAAGTGATATTGCTAATAATAATAATAATGCTAATAAAAATAACACTACTAATAATTATAAAGCTTCAAATAGTTTTCATGAAGTTTCTTTAGTAGTTGGGAATTTTGTTTATATAAGTTTGTATATTTAATAAACAGATTTGCAAATATTATTAACAAATACTCTTAATGAGTTTGAAGTTTCTCACTTGAATACTCTGGGTTAAAGAAAGTAAAAATAAATTACAAAATAAAGAATTTGTTAAAAAGTTCCTTACTAGTAACACTTTTCATAATTGTAGCATAGAATTTAATGGTTAATATGTAAAATGCTTGACATGTTAATTAATTTTATTTGAGGGTTTATATGATCCCAATTATATGCTTCCCGGCCCAATGCATTAGAATTTTAAGAAATTCGGGCCCGAATTTGTGTTTCCTGACCAAAAATATTAAAATTTAAATTCTGATCAGAATTAGCATTTCCTGGCCCAGCATTTAAAATTTTAAAAAAATTCCAATTTAGGTTTTCTGGCTCAATTTTAGAAATTTAAAGAAATTTTGACCCGAATATAATTGTTAGCTTTGATTATATTATTTGTATAAAATTTAATTATTTTGCATTATGTCATAACGACTAAAAAATGACGTGCAAAAATTGTGCCATGATCATATGAGTTTGCCGGATAAAAATATTTAATTTATATATCTATATCGATATTGTATATAAAATCAAACAAATAATCAAAATATTAAAAATATACTTCAAAAAAAAGCGATATTTAATATAAATATTATAACAAAACAAGTTAAAATATACGTGTATACAGTATATTATTTGTATAAATTTGCAAATAAATTTAATATACCCCTAAAATATCTATAGTAGATCTATATAAATACCACAACCTCCAAAGTTTAATCAATAATTCTGTTAAATATAATCTAAAAGTCATTACTATAAAATCTTTAATGAATCCTAGAGTTCTAAAAAAAGTTGGAGTTCCAGCAAGTAAATACCATCTTTGTAATGGACCAATCATAGCATCATCACCTGTTAATCCAAGTTCTTTCGAACGCTGTATTCGTCTTTTTTCTTCATTCCTTGTTTCACACCATAATCCACGTATAGCATATTGTGCATTCATTCTGAAACTTTCTATTGGTTTTCCTCCAAGTTGACGATGAATTCCACGTACTATATTAATTGTTCTAAGTACTAATAGCATCTCTCGTGGTAAAGATTCCAAAAAATCAAAGAAATCACTTAATTTTATATGTTTTAATTGATCATGAATCATAGCACGTTCTTCAGGAGTCAAATCTTCACCAAGAGGAGTAGTAGAATCAGGTATACGTTGAGTAAAAATCAAAGGAAGAAATTGAATGTATTGTGGAACACCTAAAGAATCAGCGACATGTTTAAGAGCTTCAAAATCATTCAATATTAAAGCTTTCCATAGATCACAATATACCATACGAAAATCATCAGATAATTCTCTATAAAGTCCATGATCAAGGAGAACAAGTTGAGGTTTATTTGTTATTGGTGAAATTATTACAAGAGCATTTCCAGGATGGGGATCACAATGAATTACACCATGACAAAAGATCATTTCAGCGAATACTTCTAATAGTATAGTTCGTACCCATTTTGGACTTACACCTAAATTTTTTAATTTTTCAAGATTATTAATTTTAACACCATGTATAAATTCCATGGTCAACACACGTTTAGTCGTTAATTCCCATATAATATTAGGAATTTTTAATTCATTTGCACGATGTTTGAATCTCTGTTGTGTTAATTCACCGTTTTTAGCTTCACGTAAAAAATCGAATTCTGAAATCAAATTTTGCTTAAATTCTTTTATAATCCAAGTCAATTCAAGTTCCGGAAAAAAGTAAGAAATTAGATCGGACATTGATTGCATAGTCCAAATATCCACATGAAAAAGTCTTGAAACCTAATATTATAAAAGGTTAATACTGCAGAAAGAAAAGAAGGAGAAAATTTTTTAAAATACTAACATCAGGATATTGAACTTTAACAGCTACTTCTCGACCATCTTTTGTCATAGCTATTATTATTTAATAAGAATATAAGAATATAAGAAAAATAATTGATAATCCCAATTGCATTATGAGAAATGTATCACCTTTGTGCACCTGAGCTAAAGAAGCAGCAGCTATTGGAATTTCATCAAATTCCGAATATACATCTTTTGGAGTTAATCCATTAAATTCTTCAGCAAATATTTTATTTACATCTTCTATACCTCTATAAGGTGCACGATCTTGTAAAACAGATAAAGTTTCGATATATTCTTTAGGAACGATAAAAGTTAAAGAAGCAAGATGTTGAGCTCCTAAATAATTATTGAACTTTTGAATTAGAAATATATAATGCATATATTATATATATATATATGCATATATCTGCGTATATAGTTTTTTTTTTTTTTTCTAAAAAAAAACATGGATCAAATAAAATTAAAACGTAAAGTAAATTAAAAATGTCTAACCTTTTACATATATACCAGTATGAAGTCTACAAAGTCTCAATAATCTTTTTGCAACTCTTAAATGAACGACTTTCTGAGAAGATTTGAATTCATCAGATTTATGATCGACATTTTTAAATCGAAAATGTAATATCTTATAATCTAGCATACAAAGGCAACTATAAAAGAAAAATTGATCGAATCAAATTTTAAAAGATAGATGATATATTATATTGCGATTTGGCTAAAGAGCAAAAAATTCTCGCGTCAATTCGAACCTCGTACCAAACACACAAAGTTACCGAAGAGCGGAAAATTCCAGCAAAGATTAAACGAAATTTATCTCGGTAACTTTGCGACCACGTTACTCCCAAGATCGTGGTTGCAGTTGTCAAACCTAATATACCCAGGATTATAGAATTATTGCGTACATTATTTTTTATTTTAGTGATTGGGGAAGTATTTAAACGAGCAAAAATCTTTGTTGAATATTGAATTTTCGAAAATTTTAAAGAATTTTGAAATGTAGGTTTATACACAAAGGAAGAGAAATTTATTTTATGAATCAAAGATTTATATCCAAAACATTTTGTCAACATGAAATGGTTTTGAAACGCTAAACGAGAAAAATTTTTTTGCATTCCGATCTTTTTTTACCATCGAAGAATATGATAGTAGAATCTTTGATCGATAAAAATTTAATCAATCATACTGTATTTACTGTATTAGATATAATTCTGTAATTACACAATTTCATAGATCTGCCCGTAATAATTAACCAATCAGATTATACAATTTTAAAAATTCATTAGAAAGCGAAAAAAAAACCTCATACGTATAAAGAAGCTTAAATATGCATAAAGTGGGACAAATAAGGTTTTTGTTATCTGTTATTAATGAATTCGAACTCATCAAAACCTTAATTACGGTTAACCAACCCAAACACATTACAAGAACTAAAGTTGGCAGGTACGGATTTTAGGATTTGGACATAATTTAGGATAGCTTCTTTAAAATAAAGCTATGTATTCGAAAATAGAGAATTCTTATTGGCACAGCAAACTATTAAAATTAATTAAATCAAATTATAGTAATTTCGATATCGTATTTTAATTTTAATATGATATTGTAGCAAACATTTGAATCGGTAGACTATGGGGAGCGACGAATCAGAAATCAATGTATTCGGTTATCATTGGCCACTGCTTAAGATTCGGGTATTACTCACTATCTTTACCAACTGTTTCTTGAATAAGATCCGGGAATATAACTACGCATATTGATTGACTAATTTTAATATAATTTATACCCTGGTCCTGGGCACTATGTGTATAAGCGGAAATTTCATCTCCAACTGGCCAGAATATAACTATATCAAGTTCATAATTTAATATGTGCGAAAAACTTAGTATATATTAATTTTATTAATTTCTTGCATCGATATTACTGTATTAGTGGAATTAAAATAAAAATCAAATTATAGTTAGATGATTATAATTATAAGTTATCTTTGTTAAAGTTAAAATTAAACTACTATCAGATTTCGATAATATTCGATGACCAACCATAATTATTCCACTAAAATATAACATGACTTGCTTTACTGTTACCAATTTAATCATTAATATAATGAACTACGTCGTAGATCTGCAGCTTGAAGCGAAGTGTGTTCCAAAAGTGTATTTACATTAATCGTTAGTACGTACATACGTACTTTCACATTAATAAAAATATAGGATAATTTAGGATAATTTGGGACATCCAAAAACAAATCTTTTTTATTTTAGGATAATCCGAAAACCAACTTTAACAAGAACAGACAAATTTAAGTATTACCGTAAATTACCGTATACAAGATCCCCAAATAGTAGATCCACCATGAATTAGCAAACCACAAAATCTATATTAATCAAATGTTTAAATAGCTAGACTGCCTATTATAAATACAAAGTGTGAATGCACTTGAATTTTTATCTTTTTCATGATATAACCTCTCAACATGTACTAGACCCGGGGTCTACTATATGGTTTAAAAATTGGTGGAATGTAACAGACCCGGGTCTTGTATACGGTAATTTACGGTAAGCTTGATCTTTTAACATTAAAAAGCTTGTACCTATTCAAATTAAATAGTTATCAATAAAAGTTTATTCGAATCTAACGTAATAGAGCAGTTTAGGCAAAAAACGTCTCAGTTACCTTTACAATATAATATTGTGTGGTTCAATAGACGGCAGTATATTTTGTCTTTTAAGTAAAATCTGTCAGTTTTAAGATTATATTAGATTATTTCTGCATAGTGAACGTTAACACTCGACTAAGTCTAAAGATGATAAATTTTTGGTAGCATTCCTAAAAGTACTTTATAAGTTACCCGGGCAATTGATTTACATAGCCAATCAGACGAATTTCTGTCTATGATTAACAATGATCTATATTCTTGTTATACACAAATATACATTAAAAATTATATATCTAAAAATAACATAATAACAAACATCAATATCGATATATATTAACCATCATATATCTTATATATAACTACGTATAACAAAAAAAAAAAAAAGTCATTGAATTTACTGTTACGCAAGAAGGTTGAATAAATGCGTAAAAATATGATCATATGAAAGAACATGATATAAATTTTATTTTTATTTGATGAAAAAAAATAATCTATTTATTATTTTTTTTCTTGCAAATGAACCGGACAAGTCTTTGTGCAACTTTTTTCTTTTTCAAATTTGCACAATTGGAGGCGAGATCATCCATAGATAAAGTTAAATATAACAATTATTACTATTATTGTCAATGCATTTATACTTACAGTAGATTTTTTCAATATATTGTTAATGTTGTAATCAACCCGTGTAGAGATGCCTGCTGCAAAGTCGCAGTCTTGGCATCTTTCTAAACTTATTTGCGACCTTTGCGAACACCCTCTTTTCTACAAAAGGGTGTAATGCCTCAGAGTCACAAGGTTGAAAGTTAAATGCAAATATGCAAGATGCAAAAATTGCAAATCATATGATCGCAAAATCACTGAGTAGTCATTAATGTAATGTTATCTTTGTAATGTAAATTACGTATAATTTAAAATTTAGATATATCATAAAAGTATAATATATTTAATATAAGACTTATACGTATATTAGATTGCAATATTACAACATTATAACATTATTATATTTTGATATTATGACATTTTTATAATTTGCGGATTATCATCAAATTTTATATTAAAAAATCGCAAGCAACCCTAGTTGCGGCATAAAAAAGTTGTAATGAGTATTTGCAGCAAGCAATACTAAATCCGTGCTCTCTTTCTTGGGTTGAGAGCAAAACTCGACTATAGAAGCGATATATCTATAGACAAATAAAATTTGTTAATACAACAATTAATTACTATATATTATTGTTAATACAAATTTATTAAATTGTAAATATTATAATCAACCGTTCACAGGGTTAATTAAAGCTCGACTAGGGATGCGAGACGTTTATATTATTGTTAATATTTTTATATTATGGATTTTTTTAATAAAGCCTGTTCGGATTACGTTCACGGGTTGATTAAAGCTCGACTAGGAATGCGCCTTTTGCAAAATAGAAAAAACATACCTGTATTTTCAAGTTATTGAAATTAAAAAACGATTGTCCCGTAGTGTCAAGTTATCTCCAGTGGGAAAGTAGCTGAGGTAGTTGAAATAGTGGAAACACTCGTGTCCTGATACCAGAGTAAAAAACCCCCAAAAGATTTGTTTTACTTTGATTTATATTAAGTTATTTATCTATTTTCAACCTTCTTCAGAATCTTTCATATCTTTAATGTCTTTAGAAGACCAACTTTCTGATTATGTAAATTCTTATAATTGAAACAATGTTATCAGTACCTGGATATTGTTCGGAAAACATATTGTAACGGTAATTACCATGAATAAATGAATTTTATAGTAAATCTTTATGGACTTTAATAACCTATTTTGAAACTTAGACTAAATATTCTTTTATGCTCATGTACTAAAAATTGACACGGATAAAATAAAATTAACCAGTAAATATTTATGAATACAAGGAGTATGAGGGTGAAATCCGCGTTAACATAAAAAACACTACGTTAACGCGTTTTACTAGAATTTAGCGCGCGGATTTTCACCTTAACATATTATGAGTTGTAAATTGCTTAAAGTGGTAATTGCTCGGAATTTAGTATGCACTACGAGGTAATTAATAGAATTTGATTTATCGCATAATCGGAGACAGATTGAGGCGTTAAATTAATCGTTTTTAATTGGTATACGTATCATCAAACCTATTAGTTTAAATCTTATACGTAATAAATAACCAATCTTATTTATTTTTTTTTTAAAGACATTCATAGTATATAATGAAAAATCATAATATCATTAGACATGTTACATAGATAATCAGATTACTATAGTAGGTCAAAAAGAACTATCATTATCTATCATTATCGCGGGTCAAATCAAATCAATGCGCGCCAGTAAAGGTGTGTGCGTATATTTACGGAGTTTTTATTGTAAAAACTATAATAAAGTATGAACTTAGAAAGTGTGTTACCACCTATATTTAGAGTTGGTAAATAAATAACCAAGTCCCTTCTTTTGCTTGACTTTTTTGATCAAGTACTGCAGTATTGCAGTAGACCAATAAACTAAGTTTGTTGGAACTTAATTACTAATTGCTGAATTGATTGATCAAAATATTTATGATCGACTAAGCCGCCGATAAACTTGATTTGATTATTTTACGTAGTCAATTGAAAAAAAATTTTGGTTCAAAGAAAAGATGCTATATATATATTAATTAATTATATTACAGTAAATTAGAGACTATATACTTACAATATATATATATATTATAAATAAAATTAACCAGTCTGATTTAGTTATACGAAAATCTCCGTGTGAATGAAAAATAAAATACTATTGCTACGAATTTATTTTAAGATAATTTTTTGAAAAAAATTTTATCGACACTAAAAAATTATTATTATTATAAAAAGTCCCATAGAAATATAATTAATATAATTAATTCAGTGTAATACCAAAGCACATAAGTGACACTCAATTCCCCCATAATTTCACTATTCTATAATCAATCACTTTGTTAGTTGAGATATAGTATTGAACACCAGGTGTATTTTAGTAAATAGTTACATTTGTGAAATATAAATGATAATTTTTGTGTGGTAATAATTAGTAAAATAAATTGATATTGAATAGTAAATGTAAATAATAACTACTGAACTTTTATTTATTTGAAACTTGTAAAAAAATAAAAAGAAGTGTGTTCAACATCTATATTCATTTTTTTTAATTCAACGAACTCTGTATTTTTGAGGATTGGACCCAGAACTAGATTTAGATTTAGTTCCAGGGTTACCACGATCACTAGAAGCTCTTCTATTCGATTCACTAGTGTAATGTCCATGGTTATTTCTACCACCTTCAGAAGTGGGTATATGCCCATAATTCATATTAATTGATGAATGAGGATGTAATGAATCACGATGTTTACTTTTGACGTAAGGTTGTGGAGATTGTGGAGGGAAATGTCCAGAACTCATTTTAGGAGAATACGGGGAATGTGGGGAATGTAGACTTCCATATGAGCTACTACTTTGATTTCTATTATGACGAGTTTTGTTTAAACTAGTAGCACTATCTTTTCTTTCACGGTACACTATGTTTAAACTAGAGGCACTATCTTTTCTTTCACGATGATATGCTATGTTTAAACTAGAAGAACTATTTTTTCTTTCACGGGGCGCTATGTTTGCAGAACTTGATGTACTTGTTGTAGTCCCACTTGATGAATCATTCATTAACATTTGATGACGTGCATCACTTGATAATGCAGCTAACGTTTCACGCGCCCAATTCCCAGAATCTTGTCGTTGATTAGGTGATATACGACCCGTCACTAATTGTGGTGAACTGAGTAGATCATTTTTACGATGTGGGGATAAATCTGTATGACTCTTCCGTCGAAAATTCTGGGGGGATAAAGATTTTTGGGGATCTAATTTTTTTTTTTTTAGTCATTTTATTGTTTATTAGCTAAATGTTTTTTTATATAAAAATATATACAGGAGGGTAACCATAATTATTTAATTAGTTTTTAATGCATTCTAAAAAAATTAATATTATCTGAACTACGGAATTTTTTTGAATGCATTAAATACGATCATTAAATAGTCACAACTACCCCTCTGTATTAAAGTATCTATTTAAAACGTACGAGAATCAAATGTACTAGAACGATGACGGCGATGATCAATTGATCCTCTACCAAGTGGACTTGCACTAAATGTTTGATTTGGTGTATAATCGGATAGTCTATGACCACGTACATTATAAGTTGGATCAGGATTTAAAAATCCATCATCACTCGATACTGCATATACAAGATTATATATGTACATATTATGTAAATAAATATATATGTGTAAATAAATATATTTTTATTATATGTATATATTATATGTATATATTATATATATATATGTAAATATCTATCAGTAAATAAATAAATATATAGATATATATATATATATGCATATAATTTGTATAATTAATAGAAATTAAAGAATTTTACCATTATTAAGCCATTCTTCGATTCTTTCACCATTTTTCTTTGTAGGACCATTGGGAGATGCAACTTTAATTACTGGTTTGATTTTGAGTGCAAGGGGTACATCATCAGAACTTTCATCCTCATCTGTTTCCTCATCATCATCATCATTATTATTATTATTATCGTCGTCATCATCATCATCATCATCATCATCACTCTCCGAATTTTCCTCCTTAACTTTTTTAAGTTTATCTTTTTTTTTATTATATTTATTTATTTTTCCAGAATCTGATTTTTTTGATAAAGATAATTGATTAATTTTTGAGGTTAATTTTGGGGATGGATCAGAATCAGAATCATTAGAATCATGAGGGGTTAATTGATTAACTAATGAAGATGGTCTGGAAGGTGAATTAGTATATGAAGAAGATGGTCGAGATTGATTTGTTGCTACAGAATTTGGTCGAGATTGTATATTAACATAAGAAGATGATGGTCGAGATGAGTTATTAGCTGTGGGATTTGATCGTAATGGAGCGTTATTGTGAACAGATGATGGACGAGAATTTGATAAATTATTTGATTTTGAATGAGTTTTTGCGACATGCACATCTAGATAATAATATAAAAAGTTATTTATTTATTTATAAAAATAATTTAAGAGAGAGAAAAGATAATATTTACCAGGCAGGGATTTGGGCTGTTGAAGTATTAAAGAAGTCCTATGACTAGAAGATGGCGAGAAAGACGATACCATATGATTTTGTCTAGTATTTAATATAGTTTGTCTAACATCCATTAATGTAGTCGGTTTTCCTAAACTATTTAAACTACCACGTCTTTCTTCGGGCGCAACCATACTATCTCTTGGATTCTCATTTAATGAAGGCGAAGTATAAGATGAAGCTCTCTTTCTTTGAGGATGAGGAGATTGTTGAGGTTGTTGAGTAATATTATCGTAATCATCTTGTTCTGGTATACTCAAAATTGGAGGAGTAAGTAAATGAGTAGGTCTTGGTATATAAAAGCGGTCATCATCATCATCATCATCATATTTAGGACGATTACTTGGACGATTATGAACAAAGATTGCACTATTTTCTGAATCTTCTTTTAACGCTTTCGCTAGCTGAAGTCTTGAAAAAACTGCAGGGTCACTATTTACGGATACACTCATTTTGATTGAAAAGGATTGAAATAATCTTCGATGAATATAATTATAATTCTTTTGATGATAAAAAAAATATGAAACTGTAGATTTTTTGGGGGGGTATGTGTATATATATATTTTTTGTTATATATCGATTGTATATATAAATATATATATAATATAAATATATATTATATTATATTAAATATATATATTATGTATTATATATTATTTATTATATTAAATAATAAACTTATTACAACACGAATTTTTTGTAGAAAGTCATTTAATGTTATTTTCGTTTGTCAGGGTTATAAATCTGTCGTTATCCGTTTTCCAGTTTATTGCAGTATTGCAGAAGGGAAGGGATTTATATAGTGTAAAATGATTGCTAAAAAAGCCAAGTTAAGCTATTCTATTTAAAACTCATACATAATGCTGATAAAAAAAAAAAATACGTAACAAATGTGGGAGATAGTACGTGCCTATCGATATGCATTGCATATATACAATATGTGTGACGGGAAAATCTGATTTGTGGCAGATGTTCAAGCAATTTTTCTTAATATCAGAATTAGAGAAGATATAGTTTAACCAGTATAACCACACGACACGAACTTGAACATTCAACGTTAAAAATGTAATAAAGTACTTGAAATATCAATTAATGAATATAATGATAATGAAAATGACAACAAATCGCATGGATTTTCTTTCCAAAAACTCCAGTTTCATTTGATTTTTATCGCCTTTGTTTGCTAAATTTTTAATTGTTGCAATTTGTTGCATTACACTTAAGATAAATCGGGTTCAAACTTCATAATTTTTTTTTTATCTCTATAAATAATTTGATAAAATACTTTAAATGATTAAGTGCAAACTATAAATAATAGTGCGTAGATGCTTTCTTCTTTCTTTACTATTTGAATCTTTTTTTTTTTATTAAGTATAAGAAATGTCAAAGATTTCCGGTAACTTCAGAACTTTACTTATGTACGTTCCACTATTCGAGTAACATTAAGAATTTAAATTCGTGTAACATGCACAAAATACATGTAAAATGTGTAAAATACACTTGAGGTACATGTAGAGTACGCGGGTACGTTACTAATATAAGAAACAAAACTACTATGTTTTTATATAAGTATTTTTTGTCGTCCTTTAAAAAAAAAACCATGCATTTCGTACGTAAGTACGTATGTGCCTGGTACTGTACGTAACGAAGATCACGAGAACCTTGACGATTATTCGAGGAATATAAAATCTATTTTTAGGTGAATATTTTTGTTTTACTAATAGAATATTTTCGAATTTAGAGTGTTTCCTGGTAAGGTAAGATTGCACGTATTGATTATTTTGTGTACAAACATGCTTCGTCATTTTGTTCATCTTTAACTTTATACAAGAAATACATATCGGGTGACGTTTTATGTAATCGATCTGTTGCACTATATATGCTACACAATATATTTAGGCGTATTGTATGAAAAGCCTTGCAAGTATACTCCCATTATATCATTTATTATTATTAGGATTTTCTTACTGATTCACATGAAAGAGACTGACTTGTTCTAAATTCGAACTATCTACAGAACTAGACTATATCCGTTCACGTGATAAGCCACTTTAAATGCAATGTTTTTTTATACATGATTATATAAATATATACATGAAAAGATAATTTTTAAGGAATTTAATTTACCCCAAATTCGATATTCATATCCCCCTGTAAATTATATCTATTTTTTAAAGGTATTTCAACAACCATCCGACCAACTTCAATGAACTTTGTTTACGAATCTGTAGCATTCAAATAAAAAAAGTTTATCGAATTTAGATTAGTGGTTGTCGAGATACTTTCGCTCAAAGTTAAAAAAAAAAAAAACGTTTATCAACTTTGAGCGAAGGTTCTCAATAACCACAAAGCCAAATTCTATGAACCTTTAGAGTTCAAAAAAAAAACTCATCAAATCTGGCCTAGTGATTGCCGAGATACCTTTGTTCAAAGTTTTATCAAGTACCTTTGTTCAAAGTTATCAAAATAGCTTCCGAAATTTTTCTCAAACTTTGAGCAAAGATATCTCGATAACCACCAGTCAAATTCGATGAACTTTTTTTTGAATTTTATTGATTCATAGAATTCTATTAAAAAAATGTTCATCGAATTTGGCCTAGTGATTGCCAAGATATCTTTGCTCAAAGTTTAAAAAATTCCAGTTTACAGGGGTATAATTCCCTTAATTTATCGATAGTGTAATACATATACGAATAAAATAATAAATATAAATATAAACCATGGAGTTTTCTATTTTTCTATGCATTCATAGGGAAAATTAGTAAATAGTTACACTTAATACATAAATTAAATGTTGTTTCGAAATTTTTTATATATTTTATTTATAAAAACAAATCTGTTTGATGTTTCTGATAAAAAAAGAAAAAATTTGTATAATTTAGTATTTTAATATAATTAGTATGATTTTCATTCGATTCATTTTGGATGAACTTAATTATAAATTACTTCAATAGGCTAATAAATCCGTATCAAATTATTCTAACTTTAAACATAATTTAGTGTTAACGCCAATCCAAATAAATTTTATTAATATTCCAAACCAAGTAGTTGAAATGCATTTAACGTTAACTAACTGATTTTCAACTCAAATTATTTCTCACCAATCGGATCTTTGTTATTTCATGCTAATCCACGTTTCAACTAGTAAACGTTGTTCATCAAATATGTATTTTTGATCCTAAGAAGAGTGGTTCGTGATGTTAAATTGCTATATGGCTAATAATAGTGATGACCGATTCAATGTTACATATCGTTAAGTAATTGTCTATTATCTCATTCTATTAAGTATTTTTGCTATGTATAGATTATTTATATATCCCGAAATTAATTCGTCTTTAAAAAAATTATATTATTACTTCGATCTTTAAAGTTGTTACTGATCTCTATATCGATATTTAATCTATCGTGCATAATTAATATTCAATTGGTTTATTAACCGATTGTTAGCGTTTACTGATATATGACTTCTATTTATAGGTGTATATATGTATATTAGCGTTATACGTACGTAGTGCTGTAATCGTTATGCACTTTGATCCTTAGTTTTAACCTTATCGTTGATATGTACAATGAATTTACTTGTGCACTCGCGTGGCTATCTTGCATGAATATACTCTCTCTAAAGCAATAAATATGTAATTTGTTTTATTGAGCAGGTATGCATCACAGAATAATAAATGAAACTTTTCACCCCTGGTCACCCCTGGAAGATTGTTACAAATACTGGGAACTGCGTCGGTAATTAAACTTAAATGTTGCTCAAAAAATCGCGGTACCCTCTTTAAAATTGTAAAAAGGTATGACCTCTGCAGATCATGATGTTATGTAAAATCATAGGTGAGATTTTCCGTTTCCGATTTTAAAGAGATTTCGACGAATATAAAGATAATTTAGAAAATATAATTGATCAATAGACAATCTAGGATCTCCGAGATTTCCCTCGATCAAATCGGGGGGCTACACCCTTTTGCAAAGCGCAATAATTTTTGATTCTAGTAAAATCTCATTAGATCGATACAGTAATTCAATTAATTTCTAATTAATAGATTTTTTAATTTTTATAATTTAAATATTAATATTTTATATATATTTTTCAAAGAAGTGTGATTATATAAAAGTGTGCCAATTATAAAAGCCAATTTATTATATTTAGTTAGTTTTTAAAAAACTATTTTTATAAAAAATATATGTTTATATAGAAGTATTATTCAGTATTTATATAATCTAACTAAAATTATTATTGGAGTATTTTAACGCTCACCGGAGGTGAAATTCACCAGGATGCTATATCTCAAAAACGTACTAAGTAAACAGGATCGAGTACTCTAAGTAAAAATGTCCAGGACCCTGGAAACCTCCTGAGAACTAAGATCGGGACCTAATATCTAACTACGTTGTCCGTCTTAAAACTGCACCCTAACTCTAAAAATCTTAGGCCGAATACAATTTTACTAAATTATACGTAGAGTTATTACCCGGGTCGGATGACCCGTACGGGTCACGGGTCGAAATTGCTCTAACCCGGGTCAAACGAGTCAGAATTCAAAATATGCAAAAACCTACTAAAATGCTATAATGCGCAATTTACCTAATATAACTATGGGTAGAAGACATTATAGTTTACTGAATATGTAATAAAGCACTTACCCAAGTCAGCTTATTGAAGTGTCACGTATTTTCCGAAATAGAAAATGAAAGAATTCAAATTACAAGAATTTTCAATACAAAATCCGAAAATTCCAGTTAAAATATTTGGAGTACAGGCTATTCTTTATACTAACAGCTCTAATTAAGAGTCGCTACATCAACTTTAAGAACTAACTTCAAAAACTTTATGAATTTCCGTTTGTCCCGTTGACCCGAGTTATAACCCGGGTCAATACCTGACCCGCCCGAGTCGGTATTTTCTGACCCGGGTAAGGTCTCTAATTATACGTACAAAAAAAAATTTAGCTAACTTTAACTCTAATTTAGGCCATGCAAAATTAAATAACGTAAACGGCCATATAAAAGACCCGGGTCTGTTACATTCCACCAATTTTAAAACCTAGACCCGGGGTCTAGTACATGCCTGAGAGTTTGTATCCTCGAAGTAAAAATTTGAAATGCATACACACTTTGCATTTGTAATATGCAATCTAATGTTTGAAAAGAATTGCATTTTAATCAAGATCCTGAGATTTGCACACGAGTCTAGTACCTAGTGGTCTACTATTCTGGGGTCTTTTATATGGCCGTTTACGGTAATTGGTTTTTATAACCCGGCCGGATCAAAATTTGAAAACTTCTAAAAAAATTTTTCATATGTTTTGACAGGTTTTAAAAAAAATTTTTTATATAAATTTTACAAAATTTATCTATAAAATTTTTTTAAAAAAAGTCTGGCCGGCCGGGTTTATTTAAAAATTTCAGTGCTATGAAAATCAAGTAATTAAATTTGTATGGCTTTATT